CGACCCTGCTTGAAAGCCTCGTCTCTTAGCAACGCTTCCGCTTTCAATCCCCGCCCTCATGGTCCTCTCACCTTGAAAAAAGGCGGGTCTTGAGCCGACTGGAGACAATCGGGCGCCCAATCGCCACCTTCCTTGCCGTCACGTGGCCGCCCTGTCGATCGTCTCGCCAGAGCCGGGGACTGTTGACGTCACATCAGTCCATGCGGCCCCGCCCCGTTCTCCGCTGTCACAACAGAGCGCAGGCCCCGCCCACTGTCACTTGCACCTGGCAGGGCCCGAAATACCGGACACCGGGAACCGGGAGGGGGAACACCGACAGCAGGTAAGGCGGACGGGGGGCTGGAGGAGGAGAGACGGTGTAAGTTCTATATGTGTGCCCTATAGGAAGGTATATTCTACCACATATCTCAGTACACAGCATCGTCTTCTTCCACACTCACTAGACATGTGATTACCTGTGACCCCAGTGTGGGGATATTCCCTCACTTCCTGTTCTTGTGACACCAGAGCAAGAAATAGTCATAGGGACATTTATGATTGGCAGTGCTGAACAGGAGCAGCCAGACCCACCATAGGGGCCCATTCACAGGAGTGTGTGTTACGGCGTACGTTATTGTGCCTTGGTTTAGCCCTTTTTAAAAAGTGGCTGCCAACGCATCACAAGGTTTAAAAAGAAAAAAAAAGGGAACAACTCTTTATTAACAACACAAGGTCTGCGCATTGTGTGCGTTGCATTGGGGTTGGGCTCTACTGAACAATGTATTGGGGCTCCATTCACCATGTAGAGCAGGTGCATGGCCATGCGTTGTGGTAATGTGGCTGTAAATGAGACCATCACTGGTGGAGACACGAGGCTCTGTGATGGGAGTTTCATCTACACTGCTCAAAACAATTCAAGGAACACTTTGTAATCAGAGTCTAGCATCAAGTCCACGAAACTCCGGGGATATTGATCTGCTCAGGTAAGTAGCAGAGGGGGTTGGTAATCGGTTTCAGCTGCTTTGGTGTCAATGAAATTTACAACAGGTGCACTAGATGGGCAACAATGAGACGACCCCCAAAACAGGAATGGTTTTACAGGTGGAGGCCACTGACATTTTTATCCCTTTTATCCCTACTCATCTTTTTTGACTATTTTTCACTAGTTTTGCATTTGGCTAGGGTCAGTGTCATTACTGGTAGTATGAGGAGATACCTGGACCCTACAAAGGTTGAACAGGCAGTCCAACTCCTCCAGGATCGCACATCAATAAGACATTGCCATGGTTTGCTGTGTCTCCCAGCACAGTCTCAAGAGTATGGAGGAGATTCCAGGAGACAGGCAGTTCCTCTAGGAGAGCTGGACAGGGCCGTAGAAGGTCCTTAACCCATCAGCAGGACCGCTATCTGCTCCTTTGTGCAAGGAGGAACAGAATGAGCACAGCCAGAGCCCTACAAAATGACCTCCAGCAGGCCACTGGTGTGAATGTCTCTGACCATACAATCAGAAACAGACTTCATGAGGGTGGCCTGAGGGCCCTACGTCCTCTATTGGGCCCTGTGCTCACTGCCCGGCACCATAGAGCTCGATTGATATTTGCCATTGAACACCAGAATTGGCAGGTCCACCACTGGCACCCTGTGCTTTTCACAGATGAGAGCAGGTTCACCCTGAGCCCATGTGACAGACATGAAAGGGTCTGGAGAAGCCGTGGACAACGTTGCCTGTAACATCGTTCAGCATGACCGTTATGGTGGTGGGTCAGTGGTGGTCTGGGGAGGCCTATCCATGGAGGGACGCACAGACCTCTACAGGCTAGACAATGGTACCCTGACTGCCATTAGGTATCGGGATGAAATCCTTGGACCCATTGTCAGACCCTACGCTGGTGCAGGGGGTCCTGGGTTCCTCCTGGTGCACGACAATGCCCGGCCTCATGTGGGGAGAGTATGCAGGCAGTTCCTGGAGGATGAAGGAATTGATACCACTGAATGGCCCCCACACTTGCCTGACCTAAATGCAATAGAACACCTCTGGGATGTCATGTTTGGGTCCATCCGACGCCACCAGGTTGCACCTCAGACTGTCCAGGATCTCAGTGATACCCTCGTTCAGATCTGGGAGGAAATACCCCAGGACACCATCCGTCGCCTCATTAGGAACATGCCCCGATGTTGTCAGGCATGCATACAAGCACGTGGGGGGCCATACAAACTACTGAGGACCATTCTGAGTTGCAGCAATGAAATTTCAGAAAAATGGACTCGCCTGCTGCATAATTTTTTCACTTTGATTTTTGGGGTGTCTTTTGAATTCGGTCCTTTGTAGGTCGATCATTTTCATTTCCATCAAACAATGGGGCATCCTTACATTTCTAACACATTACCCATCCATATCAGTATAGAGATCCAGCATGAGATTTGTCCCCATTGAGATCTGATGGGTTTTCAAAGTGTTCCTTTCATTTTTTGAGCAGTGTATATATGATATAACTAAGGTTGCCTTCACATCTACACAACACATCACACTTTTTTTGCAGCATGATAGTATAGGGTGGCCCATTCACTGTATAAGCTGTCCTACGCACGAAAAATGCGCCAAAGTAGCTCCTATACCTTATTTTTGGCACTGACCTATGCATGGTTTTGCAGTGCACAATTTGGCATTTTTTTTGTGTTTTTATCATGCAATGAACACACAGCAAAATGTGCGACTGCTACCTGAGGGTGTGGTGCCATGAAGAATTATGCGTGATCCGCATTTTGGTGTATTTTCACTCGTTTCCAGGAATGCATACAGAAATTCACTTTTCTGCTCCAGTTCCTGGAATGCCCAGGGGTGAATGGGGCCTAAAGGGTTGGTGGGTAAGGTGTGTACTTTGGCCGAGGACACAAAGGTGTGTGATGGGCAGGGCTTTTTTCCTCAAAGAATAGGTACAGGAATTCCCCCCTTGTCTTTGTCCCCTATGCACCTCTGAGCACCATTCCGTGGTTTCAACCCTACTCACCTCCCAGTATCACCCCTTTTTAGACTCTTCCCCCCCCCCCCCCTCCCAAAAAAAAAAAACAATGGACCTCCACAATCCTGCTAAAAAAAAGCCCCGGTGATGGGGATGATATCCCTGGAGGTGTCTGTAACATGGAACATGATTTGGCATTGCTGGAAGATTGGTCAAAGAAGTAGAAACTGAAGTCCAGTGTTTATTAATGTAAAATAATCCACCTAGGGAAAAGAATCTGTAGATAGATGAACTCCTTCTCTATCTATACCTCCTCTCTGGGTCACTTACTGATACGCTGATGACACCCAAATCTATCTCTCTACTCCTCACCTTGCCCCATCACTCTCCACTCACATTTACTAACTTATTGACATATGAATATGGTTGTCACACCACTTCCTTGGACCAGGGGTGGACTGTCCATTTGGATACTCGGGCACTGCCTGGGGACCCGGTGTCAGTAGGGGGGGCCCCATGAGATGCCCCTGGTACCTTTTTCGTAGGCTTTTTTTAGTTTGGGCAAGGACACAGGGGCCCCATGATCCCCTATTATGAGCGAATTTATAGCGAATAGAATTCTAGTATACATCACCAGCAGGAGGAAGAAGGTCCTGATTCCTCTATAGAGATCTTTAGTTATCACCAGCAGGAGGAAGGAGGTCCTGATTCCTCTATATAGATCTTTAGTTATCACCAGCAGGAGGAAGGAGGTCCTGATTCCTCTATATAGATATTTAGTTATCACTAGAGGGATCACCAGCAGAAGGAAGGAGGTCCTGATTCCTCTATAGAGATCTTTAGTTATGATCAGAGGGATCTCCAGCAAGAGGAAGGAGGTCCTGATTCCTAAATATTGATCTTTAGTTTCACTAGAGGAATCCTAAGTGGGAGGAAGGAGGTCCTGATTCCTCCTTTATAAATCTTTAGTTATCACTAGAGGGATCCTTCTAGTGATGTTCAATCTTCAACAATTTACTGCAGCATGTTTGCAATCTCTGGCCATCTCTTGTATCGTGTCGCAGTCTCTGACCATCTCTTGTATCGTGTCCGCAGTCTCTGACCATCTCTTGTATCGTGTCCGCAGTCTCTGACCATCTCTTGTATCGTGTCCGCAGTCTCTGACCATCTCTTGTATCGTGTCCGCAGTCTCTGACCATCTCTTGTATCGTGTCCGCAGTCTCTGACCATCTCTTGTATCGTGTCCGCAGTCTCTGACCATCTCTTGTATCGTGTCCGCAGTCTCTGACCATCTCTTGTATCGTGTCCGCAGTCTCTGACCATCTCTTGTATCGTGTCCGCAGTCTCTGACCATCTCTTGTATCGTGTCCGCAGTCTCTGACCATCTCTTTTATCGTGTCCGCAGTCTCTGACCATCTCTTTTATCGTGTCCGCAGTCTTTGACCATCTCTTGTATCGTGTCTTCAGTCTCTGACCATCTCTTGTATCGTGTCTTCAGTCTCTGACCATCTCTTGTATCGTGTCTTCAGTCTCTGACCATCTCTTGTATCGTGTCTTCAGTCTCTGACCATCTCTTGTATCGTGTCCCCAGTCTCTGACCATCTCTTGTATCTTGCCCATAGTCTTTGGCTATACTGTATTCTGTTGTGTGTCTGCTGTCTCTCAGAGTTAATTATGAACTGAATTTTATGTGCGGCCCTTTGGTGGTGTCGGGGGCTGAACCTGAGGCCCTCATATACAAAGAGTTGACCACCACTGATTTAGAGCAAGTCAGGAGTCTGGCATAAAGTATTGATTTTGCTAAGGATTGCTGAAAACTCCTGCAAGAGCAATCTTTTTTGTAATGCTTGAAAATTTCAAAACATTTAAAAAAAAATTGGGCAAGACAGGCATTAAACAAAACTTTTAGCGAGTGTGGGCAGAGTCTTGGAAGCACGTCTTTTCAGATACCGGTAGTTCCCACACTATATAAGCTGGGACACATTGCGGACACTCGGGTCAGGTTAAATGTTACTACTACTACTACTATCCATGGTGTCATTTTATCTTCCAGACACAGCCATGGATCTTGTTCTGAATGCAGCAGACTATTACTTCTTAACCCCCTATGTATACCCGGCATCCTGGGCAGAGGATGAACCAATCCGGCAGATCATCAGCCTCCTAATTGTCACCAATCTTGGCGGCTTCATCATCTACCTTCTGTTTGGAGCCCTCAGCTATTATTTTGTGTTCGACCACTCACTGATGAAACATCCACAGTTCCTGAAGGTGAGGACTCCTATAGATACAATGACCGGGGACAGGGATGACTTCCCTTCTGGTATTTTTGGGGGGGGGGGGGTATCACCAGTGTATTATGTGGATTGTTGACAAGTTTCTGGGGACATTGTGATAGAACATCAGGAGTCTGGTTGGTTGTTGTGGGTAACATTACTTCTTTTACACATAAACCCATAGAACAGACTACTATAGTATTCAAGCAAAAGTCAGTCCATCCAAGGACCAGGGCGTTGTTCTAGGGATCAAAGTGTTTTAAGAAAAGCACCACACCCTCTAACTCCAAAGCAGCAAATTCCCAACTCAAAAAATCAAACATTTTTTGCTTAAATAAATAAAAGGAATGCGCTAATTGAGTGAATAATACAAACTGAATATAAGAAAAAATAAAAAAATAATACAATAAAAATAAAACATTATGCAAAAAAAAAGTGTCCATAAATAATGTCCAAAAAGATTTTTAATTAATGTCCACACTGTGTTAGAACCACCACCAAAATAATTGTTTTTAAATCACCCAACCGAGCTCAAAAAATGAACAAATACCTTTTTGCTCTGGGCAATATATATAACAAATCAATTCTTGGATACTATACTGTGTAAATCAACGAACAAATTTTCCTCCAATGAAAAATATTACTGTGTGAATCAACGAACGAATTTTCCTCAGATAAAAAAACACCATTCAAGGATATAGCAAGGATATATCGCAATCCGATTCTTAGATGCGAGAAACGAACAAATTTTCCTCAGATGAAACTCCACCATTCAAGGGTGTAGGTAATTTCCAGGAATATATCTCACGACTAAGTCAGGTGTCTCCACCGACACCAGTTTTACAAGCATGTGTTTAGGCAATCGTGCACAAACGTATTTTCGTTTGCTCTGGATCTCCTCCTCTCACATCCAAAGAATGTCTCAGACGTGAGCATCCAGCAGGCCACGCCCCATGAGGACGTCGTTGGCGACGAAACGCGTAGGGCGTGGCCTGCTGGATGCTGACGTCTGAGACATTCTTTGGATGTGAGAGGAGGAGATCCAGAGCAAACGAAGATACGTTTGTGCACGATTGCCTAAACACATGCTTGTAAAACTGGTGTCGGTGGAGACACCTGACTTAGTCGTGAGATATATTCCTGGAAATTACCTACACCCTTGAATAGTGGAGTTTCATCTGAGGAAAATTCGTTTGTTTCTCGCATCTAAGAATCGGATTGCGATATATGCTTGCTATATCCTTAAATGGTGTTTTTTTTATCTGAGGAAAATTCGTTTGTTGATTCACACAGTAATAGTTTTCATTGGAGGAAAATTTGTTCGTTGATTTACACAGTATTGTATCCAAGAATTGATTTGTTAAGTATTGCCCAGAGCAAAAAGGTATTTGTTCATTTTTTGAGCTCGATTGGGTGATTTAAAAACAATTTTTTTGGTGGTGGTTCTAACACAGTGTGGACATTAATTAAAAATCTTTTTGGACATTATTTATGGACACTTTTTTTGCATAATTTTTTTTTATTGTATTTTTTTTTTTTTTTCTTATATTCACTTTGTATTATTCACTCAATTAGCGCATTCCTTTTATTTAGTTGTTCTAGGGAGCCAAGAAATCCTTGGCAAATCTCTTCTTCATCACTTTCTTTATCCTCTGCATATCCGTAAATATGAATATCAATCTGCATTTAATGAACAAAGTTCAAAAATTGCATCATTCTCTGCAGATGAACTAATGCAGGACTTATTCATATAAATGAAGAATTTGACAATTTTTGGAGAAAGAATGGATTTTGCCCAAGTAACCACCTGATTTTGCTCTTTTCTTACATCAGCTATAGGTTTTTTGGCATGTTGGCCACCCCACTGCCGGTACAGATCAGATGAATCATTCATGTTCACATACTTCTACTAAGGACAGCCGTGGCAAACCCAATATTTAATGAAGACAAATATGGGAGCTTCAATCACTGACTTATTTTACATCCTTTATTAAAGTAACCATGTCATCACAGGGTCACTTATAAACAAATCCCACACTGTAAACGTAGAGCATGTGCTGCATTTCCAGTAGCCAGTGTCTTCAAAATCCATCACTTTGCTGCCTCCATCACTACAAGTATTGGACAGTTCTAGGTGTATATTTGCTCCTATGACTGCATGCTTTGTAGAACCACAACATGTGGCGGGGAACACAAGGCAGGAAAACAGGTGGACTTTCCAGGGTTCACTTTATCTGGTTGCCCCCCACCACCACTTTCCTAAAACAGTGCATAAACGTACCTGTGGGAGACAGCATAATATACGTACTTGCCCTTCCTCGACTTTCTCCCACAGTGCCTAGACGTGAGTGACACCATCCTCCTTCTGGACAGATCTCCAGATCCTGCAAGAAGACAATCATGAACTGTACTTCAGTGTCTTTGAAGGATTTAGGCTACTCTGCATTCTCTAGGATCTTGTTGGCAGCAGAATGACGTCACCCCCTGCACTGCAGAAGTTGGGGAAAGATGATTGCAATATCTGTTTTTTTGTTGTTTTTTTTTCCCCACAAGTACTTTTATGCAGTGTTTTGGGGGAAGGGTGGCAGGACACCTTGAATAAGTGGACCTTGCCAGTGAGGTGGAGTCTGCTTTATAGAGTGCAGGGACACTGCATGAGGCGTTTGGGGGGGAACAAACAGAGTTTGGAGCTGGACTCTAACGTGGGTTATTATGAGGAAAGAGAGCAGAATGGGGGTCCTCTGGATCAACACTGCCTGAATTTTTCAGAGACTGGATATGACCAATGCCGATGCCTTTTCCATCCTATGGAGAACTATACATCAGCAAAACTGAGCCAAAGCAAAAAAGATATTCTGTTGGCAGCTCTTGGTGGAGTTCTATCATCTGTGTTATTTTTGATTGCAGAACCAAGTCCGCCGAGAGATCTTCTTCTCCTTGAAGTCCATGCCTTGGATGAGTATCCCCACTGTTGCCCTGTTTTTTGCTGAAGTTCGGGGCTACAGTAGGCTCTATGATGACGTCAATAGTTCCCCCTATGGTAAATACCTCTATGTACTTTCATTTACTATTTATACTTTATGATTCATGTTTTGCTGGGATTTGGCATGTAGATCGGCTGCAGTCTCTATGATTTTCATTATCACACACTGCTTGTTGGTCCCCAGATACCTATTGACAGTTTATTAAAGGCATGGGAAACATTCCAACCCACACTTTTGTGTTTTTCACCTGCATAAGATGTGCCTTGTTTGTGTAGTTTCATGGTGTCATTTGTTGCCCTGTACACACAGCCTATAGTAGAGTGAATCTTCACATTCAATTTCAGTTTGTGTAGAAACATGAGGCTTGCAGCCTGGCACTGCACAGGTTAACCACTTCCCGTCCGGCCGTTTATATACATGGGCTGGACGGGAGCAGTGCAGGAGAGGGTTGCCGTTCATAAACGGCGCCCACATTTTCAGCTTGTGCACGCTTCCCGGGAGCACACGGCACTGCGATCCGGTGCCCGCTGTGTCACAGCGGAACACCTATCGCTGTACAGGACCTTCTGTGTGAGGTCCCAATCATGTGATCACTGATCGGCCAATCGGTGATCACATGAATAGTAGTAAGCAAGATGTCACTTCTGACATCATTGCTTACTACGTGTGAAAACTGTGAATGATCACATGGTACAAGGCTATTCACAACTGCCTTGTACAATGTGAAAAGCTGTCACCAATCACAGCTCTCACAGTATTTCTCAATGGCTGCAAGAATGCAGCCAGAGAGAAGGAGAAATGATTGCTTTTACACACCCATAAAGACTGTAAAAGCAATCAGTGTAAAAAAGAAAAAAAAATCTTCCATCACCTCCCCACAAGTAGTACAGTGTCACTATGGTGACACTGTACTGCTAGGGTGACAGTATGTTAAAAAAACAAAAAAAACAAACAAATAATATTAAAAAAAAAAACAATTTAAATTTAGAAAAATTTATAATTTTTGGTTATAAACTAATTTGGGTTATTTTTTTTTTTTACTAAAAAGATAGATGAATACATTGTGGCCAAGATTTATGAAGAAAGATTATTTATTTGCAACATTTTAGAAGAAAAACACTTTTTTTTTTTTTTCAAAATTTTTGGACTTTTTCATTTATATAGCAAAATAAAGTAACAACCCCAGTGGTGAATAAATACCACAAAAATAAAGTTTTATCTGTCTCAAAAAAATGCTAAATTCATATGGGTACAGTGTTGCACGACCACGCAATTGTCATTCAAAGTGTGATAGTGCTGAAAGCTGAAAATTGGCCTGGACAGGAAGGCGGTAAAAGTGTCCGGACTGGAAGTGGTTATTGAATGACCTCTGTCTGTAGTTTAAGAACTGACACTTCCTGTCCTGTGAAGATACTACATATCCCACAATCCCTGGGTCCCTCATTCTAGCGCAGGTGAGAGCTACATAGTAATTAGATCTGACACGGACACAAACAGGCAGATCATTTAGAGACACGCAGAGAGGTCCTTTACAGTTTGGAGAGTACGTGTTTCATCACATTGGAACTCCCACCAGGCATGCATTGGATGCTTTGTGACCCGGAACAGAAAGCTGTTTTGGCCATTTGCAGCATAGGGACAAACTAACTGAAACAAAGCTTGGATAATAGAGGGATCAATCGGCCATGACACTGCAAACTGCAGCCACAGCACGTGAGCCCATCATTATCAAGTAAGGCAAACAAACCGCACAGAGGATATAATTACTCTAATACCGACTTAAAACATTTTGAAAATGTACGTCTTTAAAGTACATGAAAAAATGTAAATGAATGCCATTCAGCTTGCAAAAGCACCGTATCTCAAAAACATTTGCCTTTTTGTTTTAAATAAAATCATTGTTTTCCCCGATCAATGCTAAATAATCACTCAATTCTATGTGACAAGTTCTCTTTATTAGCACTGTTTGTGGTGACTGTTGGACGGCAGTGGATAAGTTGTCTTGTGAATTTATTTCAGGCTGGTTTGGAGTGATCCTGAGCATGTTCTCCTTCCTGTTCTTCACTGATATGGCCATCTACTGGATCCACAGGTTCCTGCACCACAAGCTCATCTATAAGGTATGGTACCTGGAGGAATGATGGGGGGGGGGTGATAAAAATGGATACGTGGATGAGATAGGTGTGCTGGGCCTGCAATTATTCTTGTAGTTTTTGCAGGCTTGCTGCTTAGCGCTGGTTAATAAAGTACTGAGACCAATATTTGCTGTTTTTTTTTCTCCTGGATAAAAGTGAACGTTTTTCTAAATGTAGCTGCTCTGGCATCTATTCCCTTTTACTCTACTTTAGGCCATGTGATCATTAATATCAAAGTAGATATAAACCCTTTGGCCTCATTTAGACTTGCTTTTCTGTCCAAAGAGAGATCTGCGTTTGGATCGCTCTTCAGACAATCAGTGAGGAGGTATTGTATTACCTCCTCACCACCCGTTTTAACCCCTGAATTACTGAAAAACTGTATAAATGGGCCATGCTCAGTGGACATTTCCAGCGAGGTATAAGTTCTGCCATTGCATGTGTACACCTCCAGCTGCTGCCTCAGCAGAAACGGGGAGCAGTTGAGTGGCTGGAAAAATGTGACTAAACTGCAGGGTTTTACCGTCCCCCAACCACAAGTGTAAATGAGCCCTGAGTAATGTTTAAAGTGGCGTTCCACTCACCCTGTCAAAAAATAAGTCAGCAACTACAAAAACTGTAGCTGCTGACTTTTAAAAAGCCACTTACCTGTTCCGCGGTGTCCCCCCCCCCGCAGCCCGTTTCACCGGCCGTCCTCTATTTCAGGAGGCCGACATCTTCACTGTGGGCACCCGGCTGTGACAGCTTGCATCTTCACAGCTGGGTACCCTCTGCGCATGTGCGAGTAGCGCTGGGCTTCATGAACGGTCCTGTAGTCTTCTGGGACCTGTCACGTGTCCCAAAAGACTACAGGGAGGGAGGGAGGACACCTTCCGTTAGGCGATCGGACTAGAAGTGGGAGCGGGTACCTGTCCAATTCGGGCACCTGCCCCCCAAAGGTGCCAATCCTTAATGGGGAGCGGGGGAGCAGTTCTTAAAGCGGAACGTCCCCTTTTGGGTGGAGCTCCGCTTTAAAGACTATCTCCAGGCAGATATCGGCCCCCCTCCTACCCCCCTGTAACCCATTCTGCACAGATTTTTCTTTTTTCATTTGTACTTTTTGAAGAAAGGTAGACTAACCTAGCTTTGCCGGCTGGGGGTCTCCCCAATGTCGTGTCCAGGTGCAGGTGATCGTTGATTCGTCATTGCTGATGTGCCCATGTCAGATGGTTGCCTCGTGCTGACATCATTCTGAATCCTAAGAGTCCCAATGCTGGAGAGCCAACATAAAGTGTCCATGGTATGTAGGCAGAAGAGGAGCGAATATTCAGGACTGGAGCATTGCTTGATTTCAACATTAGGCATGTAAAAAGGGCATTTTGATTTTTCTTAACTAATGCCAGCGTTTAGACGGGTGGGAAGAAACAGGCAGAGCCCAGAGACGGCTTTAATTTGCCAATGCTCTGTGTGTCATAAACCTTTGCAATTTAAGACAAGAATGCTTGTTTTCAGCTTTTTGTGTCAGTGCTGCTGATCTTTCACAGGCCTTTTGAAGCCACAACCTGTCTACATGCACTCCAGCGGTAGTTGCATGGCATTTCTCAAGGTGGGTTTCCTGATGGTGACCACAGTGGACCATGCCCATGTAATGTGTGCTGAAACAGCCACTTGTAGTGTCTATCAGAAACCTGTGTGACAAGGTGTGACAATGTAAGAGCACAATTGGGAGACAGGGCCAGGTTGTTGTCACCCTGTAACAGAAAGTGCCTGAACAAGGATCTTTATGGCAGGATCACTAGGGATTATTCTACTAAAAGCTGCAAATGTAAATCTATTATAAACTCCTGGAGCTCCTACTAACCTTTTCTAACTCTTGAATGGTGGTGCTGCCTGTTTATGTTTTAATGTAATTTTCGAGTCTATAGTATCTCTTCAGTGATCCCCTCCTTCTATATTAAAAATCTTGTCCGACCAGGGATACAAGATTCCTGACTCTGTGTCAAAATTGACATGAAATCTGAACACAGCACATATTTCTATAGTGTTTACTTGCTTCTCTCCAAAAGCAATAAAGCTGCCCATAGATGGACTGAATCTCGGTTGGTTCAGCAGGGACCGGCCGGAATTCAATCCATCTACAGACATATGCTGGTTGTATTGAAGTTAATCCATTGATCGGCTACAGTACAACCAGCCTGTCGGGTTGTTTTCATGTGAACACTACCGGTGGCTATAGCCACCAGCAGTGATCATTGTGTTTTGCCAGCAGGGAATGGAGGGAGGAATTACCCCCATCAACACTGACTGGCTGCTTTAGTGTAATTTCTCTCTGCTGCCTCCTTCCTCTGTTATCTGCATGAGTCACTTATGGTAAGTTTTCCTGACAGCAAAAGCTAAAAAAATTACTGGGGATGAATATCCAGCTCACAGCCTGTGATTGACAGCCACAGTTCTGTTCCTGTGTGCTCTGTGAAGGGGGTGTGTCTCTTTCCTCCAATCAGCTTTCAGAGCTCCCCTGCTTTGTGAGTCTGTGAAAAGTCCTTTCCATCTCTGAGTTTTACAAGGATGTAGAAATGACTGCAGATAAATAGGTACAACTTATGTGGGTGAATTTGCTTCATCTCTGTGTATCACCTGAGGCCAGTCACTTCACTGAGTATATGTGAGGGTTTACAACCACTTTAAAGCAAACTCATCGATTCATATTGTGTAGGGTGGTGATTCTGCTGTAGCTTCTCGCAAGCATCTTTTGTTATTCTGGAAATCAGTCCTTTGTCTCTGTGAAGCCCTTGTATTCCAGGCCTGAGCTGCATTCAGGGCATCAGCTTCTGTTGGCTGTAAGTTTCTACACCAGTGGTTCTTAACCTTGTTGGAGGTACTGAACCCCACCAGTTTCATATGCGCATTCACCGAACCCTTCTTAATTGGAAAAATAAAATATGATTTTTAAAATTCAAAACATAGGTATATATTTATACATAGGTGCACAAAATGAACAAAACCGTTAAGAACAAAGAACAAAACCATTAAAACATGATTTTCACACAAAAACAAAAACATAATAATGAATATTTACTGCACGAATCATATGAGTCGGGTGTGGGTCTTCACCTCTGCCGAACCCGCGAGACTGACTTACTGAACCCCTGGGGTTCGATCGAACCCAGGTTAAGAACCACTGTTTTATAGTAATTCATCCCCCTATAGTAATTCATCCCCCTATAGTAATTCATCCCCCATATAGTAATTCATCCCCCATATAGTAATTCATCCCCCATAGTAATTCATCCCCCATATAGTAATTCATCCCCCATATAGTAATTTATCCCCCATATAGTAATTCATCCCCCATATTAATTCATCCCTTATATAGTAGTAGTAAGTAAGTAGCAAGTAGTAAGCCAAGTCCCCCCTGTGTCAATTCACTTACCTTTGCTCCGCGCGTTCCTCTCGCTGTATTCCCGCGCCGTTCCGGTCTTCGGGGCGGACTGTGAGAGCAGCCTAGCTCCTCTCACGTTCGTCACGCTGCCCCGCCTACACACATCCTGACAGCCAATCACTGGCTATCAGGATGTGAGTGGCAGCGAGACTGGCCAATCATTGCATTTGAGCGCGCTGCCCTGGCTGTTTTTTTTTTTTGGATCACTGCAGAGTCCCTGCCGCCCGAGAGGAGGGAGGGGAGCGGGCGCCCGGCACACAAGAGCCACATTAAAGCGTGTAAAGAGCCGCATGTGGCTCGCGAGCCGCGGCTTGCCGACCACTGGGCTAAGCGATGTTGCGTGACCACCTGCAGCCAATGATGGACAAGCGGGGCATGTCATCACGAATCATATGAGTCGGGTGTGGGTCTTCACCTCCGCCAAACCCGCGAGACTGACTCACCGAACCCCTGGGGTTCGATCGAACCCAGGTTAAGAACCACTGTTCTACACCTTCTGATACAAAGCACTTCCCTCTACCATTCAAAAATCCAATCCCAGAGCTGTCACCAGTCACTGAGGTTCTGGCATTGGACTGTTGAATGACGGGGGGGGGGACTTATGTAGGCTATAGACGGGTCGAAAATCGGCCGAAAAAAATCGGCCGACTTTCTCACCGTTAGTGGGTTAATTGGTTGGCTGTTTTTCGGGATTTTGGCATATTTTTTTATCAGTGAAGTTGGAAAAAAATCGGCTGATTTTTCCCGGCAATGATGGACAAATTGGCCGATCTAAAAAATTGCGCATGAGCCGTGACCTGCAAGACGATGAAGAAGACAAAAAAGAATTCCAGTCCGCTATTATATTTGACATGAAAAAGTATTGTGGTTGCAACAATGTATCCATTTCGGATACAGATGGTTTTATTCAGATACAAATAGATACATTGTTGCAACCGCAATACTTTTTCATCTATTTGTATCTGAATAAAACCATCTGTATCTGAAATGGATACATTGTTGCAACCACAATACTTTTTCATGTCAATTATAATAGCAGAGCTCTCTGCAGTGACAGAAGTAATTAAATGCCCGCTGTAGACGGGACGAAAATCGGATGTTTTTTTTTCTTTTTCTTTTTCTTGGTGGTAACGTCGGCCTATTGAACGACCGATTTTCTTTTTTTTTTTAAATTGCCAGTTTTCGACCCGTCTATGGCCTGCATCAGAGCTGTTCCCCTTTACATCTAACCATTAAACATAGTCATATACAGCATCCTCATCACCCCCCCCCCCCTTTCCCTGCCTAAACTACTTGAATCACAGGGTGCTCGTTCCTGCAGATATTTATTTGAATTCAGGCGGAGCCATGCACAGCCATGTCATCCATTCAATCAGCTTGATCAATGGAAATCCTACAAGTCCCATCTGCCACTGTCGCAATTTCTCTGAGGCTGGGGTTAAATTTTGATAGAAACTATGCATTACACCCATAAAGCACTAATTGCAGGTGCAACACTCTGCAGGATTCAGTGCAAAAAAGTAGTAAATGCCCATTGATATGAGTTCAACATGGCTACATTTACTACTTTTTGCAGACAGTGACTTTGCCTTTAGCTAAGTGACACTGTCTCTGTCCATTCAGCCATATAGCCCACTCGCCTAGACATGTATGCTTACCAACCCATGCTCATTCACTGACATTACTGCATCCCAACCTGTAAGCTCCAGTGTCTACTGATTGTTGAGCTTAGATACAAGGGGATGGGCTGGATGGTAGAGGGGTGGATGTCGTGTACCTGTTCCAGGCCAGTGAGAGGGTAGCACTGTACTTCTGTCAGTACTGCTATTCATAAGACTGACGTAAAAGCAACTGTAAAACTATTTTTTTTTTTTCCAGACTATCCACAAACCCCACCACAAGTGGAAAGTGACAACGCCCTTCGCCAGCCATGCCTTCCACCCCATCGACGGCTTCGTGCAGAGTCTGCCATACCACATTTACCCCTTCATCTTCCCCTTACACAAGGTCACCTACCTGGGTCTCTACATCTTCGTCAACATCTGGACCGTCTCTATTCATGATGGGGACTACCGTGTCCCCAAATTTCTGGAGAGCATCATCAATGGTTCTGCCCATCACACCGACCATCACCTGTACTTCGACTATAACTTTGGCCAATATTTCACCCTGTGGGATAAAATCGGAGGGTCCTACAAGAATCCCTCTGCCCTGGAAGGAAATGGCCCACATGATCTATGCCGGAAGCTGGAGGCCAAAGAGCGCCAGGAGAACGGCATGGAGAAGAAGAGCAACTAAGACCTGGCATGAAAAATATTTACATACCGATCAGTACGGACCACATCACACTCTTACCAGCTCAACTGAAATCTATATACAGGATAGCAGTAATTAAAGTGGAACTCTGGGCAAACCTGTCAGGGAAACACAAATATTTCATTTTACATAATGAAAGTCTTTTCTGCGCCTAGTGCTGATTCAAGGTCCTTTACTATCTGAGGCGAAAAGGCTGAAGTGTGGCCCCATATGAGCTGTGAACTACCTTCAGAATGGATTGTAAGTTTTGCCCCATTTGCACCCCCTTCCTGCTGAAGTGCCTAACGCTGCCACCTCTGTTATCCACCCCTCAGCCCAGTCCTTCATGTGAACCCACCACAGGCATGCTAGGAAATGGTCGACAAACTATCACTTCTGCTGAGCATTCTAGGGATCTAAGCCCTGAGCAGGTCAATGCGCCATTGCTCTCTCCCAGTTAGGAAAGCCACAGCAGAAGATGCAAGATGAGAATCATGGACCTGGAAGGAGGGCAATACTAAATTGAGATTTAAAGTTATTAAATTCTTTTTTTTTCTTTCCTTTTTACAGTAGGAGAGGAACTTTCTAGGAATATGAGGGTGTTAGTGGGGGGGATTTCTTTGTCCAGAGTTCTGCTTTAAACAACCGCATTTGGGGCCAAGTAGATTTAGCCCCAATAGAAGCATCACAGCTCAACAGCTAACTGCAGAGCAGGAATAAGTAGTGAAGTTGCTTTGCTTGCCAATAGGATCTGTGACATGTGCAAACTTTCATAATTTACATTAACCCCTCTGTTCTGGAGCCATTGACTTTCCAGCTGAGGTACTGTAGGTCCCAGGAAAACATATTCTCAAATAAATTGCTGAACAGTCCCAATAGACATATACTATATATGCATGTTCAACTACAGTCATGCTCCCTGCTGATTGGAGAGCCCTAGCTTTGTCAGCATGGGTTGTGTCAGACCTCTACAGAGAGACCACTGCTTTCACAGAGAGAACAAAGATCCCACTCTACAGCATGCTGTCAGATGACAGGTTTCTCTATTCAGACTGTAGATGCCTTCAAAAAAAAAAAAAAAAAACGCAAACTGCAAATTTGCACAGCTTGGGTTTTGATAGACCTCAACTTCATTTAGCTGATCTAAACTGATTGTTCATTTGGACTTTAAAAATCACTGGTACTATTCTCATAAATCTAATGCCATGAAGCAGGATGGAAGGGAAGGCAGATGCTTTGCTCTACCAGTAATGAAGGTTTTAACGTTTTTTGTCATGTAATGTGGAACCAGGGGCGGACAGACAACTCATGGGGCCCCCGGGCAATTGGGGATCATGGGGCCCTTGTGTCCTTGCCCACACTCAAAAAACACACCCACAAAAGACTATAAAAGGTACCATGGGAATTTTATGGGGCCCCCTACTGACCCCGGGCCCTCGGGCAGTGCCCAAGTGCTCGAATGGTCAGTCCGCCCCTGTGTGGAACATTGCATTTTTTTTACAGGACAAACTGGGCCTTCATTTGGTGGTAAATGTTAATGGATAGCTCCTGATTTTTGTTTCATTATCAAAGGAAAACTGATTAAAAAGTCTTCTTAAAAAAAAAAATAATAATTGAGTTGTATGTTTGACCCACAAGAAAAAAAGACAACCCAAATGATGTTTTCCTATTACAAGCTGGCACAAACAAACAATTCCTATTACATATTGATGTGGCCACTGTATGTGTTGTAATTTACTGTAGTAGCATTAGCTACATATTGTAAGAGGCGCTGAGTTCCGTCAGCAGTACAAGTGGCCTTTTATCTGCTGCCGGAATTAAAAAGTGTTGGACCAAGTGCTTCTCCACCAATCAGGAGAAGCCTTGTATTTCTATTAATGACTACAAAGCTTTATCTGATTGGCAGAGAGTCAGATACATAACATCACCTTAAAAAAGTACATAGGAGGGAGCAAACACCTAGTGCATTACTGAAAGTTTATTACAATAAAAACAAACAGCCAAATAAATACTCACAAAGGTAGAAATTGTAATGCCGCCCTCCTCAGATCAGGAAATCTATTCAGATCAGGAAATCTATTCGATAAAGCACACAAAGTATTGATACATACTCACAAAGGTAGAAACTGTAATGCTGCCCTCCTCAGATCAGGAAATCTATTGATAAAGCACACAAAGTATTGATACATACTCAAAAGGTAGAAATTGTAATGCCGCCCTCCTCAGATCAGGAAATCTATTGATAAAGCACACAAAGTATTGATACATACTCAAAAGGTAGAAATTGTAATGCTGCCCTCCTCTGATCAGGAAATCTATTGATAAAGCACACAAAGTATTGATACATACTCAAAAGGTAGAAATTGTAAACAAGTTGTATAATACCAAATCACAATCCAGTGTGGATGTCACGTGGCCTGACCCAATGTACCACTATGTACCACATATCAGGCCACGTGACATCCACACTGGATTGTGATTTGGTGTTATACAAATAGTTTACAATTTCTACCTTTTGTGAGTATTTCTCAAAACTTTGTGTGCTTTATCAATAGATTCCCCAATCTGAGGAGAGCGGCATTGACGAAGTATACCTGAGCTTACTTCAGCCATTAGAGGTGGCCCGCTGCTTATGGAGCCTGTATGGTAGAACTCTCAAGCCGACCATAGATAGTGTAACTGTCTTTCCTGCAGCCACGGGTTGCAGGAAAGCAAATTGTTCAATATCCCCATCAACACAGTCCGTGTCAATGGGGGAATTGTGTTCTTCCAGCAGGGAGCCGTCCCTGACAGAAGAACACAATTACTATTGCTAGCGGCTATAATCACATGAGAAATCCGGCAGGCTGGTTGTACCCAAGTCGTACAATTGAATTGGGTAAATGTAGCCTGCCCATAGGTGGTTTGACTCTTGTCCGGTCCTTCTTGAACCGACCGAGAATTGAACCTTCTATGGCTGGCTTAAGTGCTGGAAGTGATTGTGTGTTTTTTCTTACATAACATCACCTTGACTAATCGTGGAAGTTTTCTATTGATTGATAAAAACACAAGGCATCTCCTGAATTGTGGAGAAGCAGTCAGCTCGGCACATCATTATGTAATGAAAATCGTTAGATTAGGCCAGCTTGACCCAAACAAACTATTTAAAAGGATAGGACAGGTGAATTCAACTTTAAGACCAATGTGCTTCTGTACTGTTTGCCTGTTACCTCAACAGTGTTAGTAGATTAACATGTAGAAGAGCTAGGTGTGACCGATACAGCTGCCATGCAGAAAACTTTCTGCAAATCTGGCTATACACTATGAGATCTTGGTTTTTCAGTTCGACCAATATTTATCACAACTGTCTGTTATAAGGGTCTTCCCACTGGATTTTTCAAATTATGATATTTAAGACTGGTTTGTTTGTTGGTAAATTTTGCAGAATTGAATATTCGAGATCGTACTGCCAATGGCCAACCTCTTTCACATCCTTGCCTCATTACAGCAGCCCTGTTGAAATAGGTGATGCTTAACAACAGTGAGGCTTATTGCCACCCTTGCAAAAATACCCTAAAACCTGCATCATTTAAAAAAGAAAGGGCAATAACTTTTTTAATGGTTGAACTGGATGGACTTTTGTCTTTTTTCAGCCACACTAACTATGTAATAACCAACTTCCCCATCACCAACTCTGCAGCATTTGTCTAAGATGCAGGTGATTTTTAATAACATCCTGCTTTGCACTATCACCTGGAGAGATACACAGATCTGTCTCATCTTTAGGGTCTTCATCTTTTTGTACTGGCCATGTATTGTCCCCCCCTATACAGCGCTGAGCAAAACCCTTTGGCGCTATATAAACTCGTAGTAATAATAATAATAATAATCTTTGGGGTGTGTGTATTCAAGTTAAGGCAAGACAATATAATTCTACAATTCCAGCTTATAATGTGCTGCAGAATAAAGCTGGCCATAGATGAGTCAAAAACTGAACATTTTGTCAAAAAAATGAAAATAGCTCTTATGATTGTGCCATCATTCGTTTCGTTTTTCTAAATAAAATCAAGCATGTTGGATCAGGCACTTTATGCGAAAAACAAACGATTCAACAACCGACCAGAATTTTTGTTCATTTTTCACCTCATCTATGGCCAGCTTCAGGCTTCACAGAGCATTTTTTTTTCCTCTTATCTGTATAACCTGCCTAATACAGACACAGAGCAGAGCAGACCTGTGTACACAATAACGAGGACAGATGTTGCCCTTGATATGATAAGATGCCACTGAGTGACATTCAGGTATAAAGTCCTTGGTGTGGCTTTCACCTCATTCGGGTTTAATGATTATACTGGTTTTTGCTATGCAGAAAGTCTTTTTTTTTTCTCAGCCAGATTTGATTGATATTAGCCCTCATGCACACTTGACGTTTTTACAACGGCTGGTTTTGGCTTTTGACGTTTTTTTTTTTCTAGAGCCAGTAAACCCCCAGCATGTTATCCTATGTGTCCATGCACACAGACTGTAGTCAACGATTTTTGGCTGGGATAAAAACCCAGGACGAGTGGGTTTCTAGAGGAGTTTTTTAGCTGTAAAAACGCTCTAAACGCTGTAAAACGCTGCAAACCGGCATTTTTGGATATTTTTGCTAAAAAAACTCTTAAAAAACGTTAAACCACAAATGCAGAAAAATGCCATTAATCGCAGCTGAACACTAATGCAAAAACACAAAAAAAAAAAAGCTGAAAAACTCAAGTTTTTAAGGTGAGTTTACACAGCTAACCTTACCAGCGTTATCAAACCGTCAAGTGTGCATGAGGGCTGAAGGTGATATTGGTGGATCTTACTGTGAAATGAATGATTGCATTCATCAAAGTTGGGACATTAGCACATTGTGTGGTGCAGTTGGGGAAATGATGAGATTGTGGCTCCTTTCCTTACTAGAAGTCTATATTATGTTCCCATTTTAGTGTTGTGTTTTTGGTGTGTTTTCATTTTATGGGACCCATAGACATTAGGAGTCC